CCTTACAGCCACCCCAACACCCAGCCAGGTGGGTCCTCGTGGCCTTCAGAAAGAACTCTCAGGGTCAACAGAGAGCCAAATCCTGATGGCTGTAGCCAACAAAAGGCTACCACACATCACAAAGGAAATAGGATTGGGTGCACAAGGCCCATTTCTCTGCTGCCTGGGCACTGCAGAGCGGTCAGAGCAATACCAGCAGATGCAGTTTGCACGGCCAACCTTACCAACTGGTCTGTGAGTCCCACGCAGACTCCCTCCCCGTAGTGTGTAAATATTAATACTTAAAATTCAAATGTGACACTTAGCCAACATTATTTCACAAAACTATAATCAAACCCAGCGCTGTTTATTACACACTTCCTTCCCTGCGTGTGATTTATATCTAACTTCTTTCTTTTTTAAATTAAAACAGTGCTATATCCAGAGTACTTTTTAACTGGAGAGCTCTGCGAGAGAATTATGACACACTTAACGCACCACTCAAAACATTATCATCAACATATTATTTATTGCCAATAAAACTTCAAAAACTGTTGTCTGTGAGCCATTTTACTTTCAAGTTTCTGCCTAGCTGAGATTCCTATAGCCCAAATCTGTCTTTTTTTCAGTTTTTTTAGAGATAATTCCCATTCTGCTGTATCACATCAAGTGTTTCATTGCAGCTTCTTTGGTCTGAAAACATCGGGCAGCTGCAGGAAAGCTGCACTGACAAACGAGATACAATTTTAAAACCTGTCTGATGGGTTCCAACCATCATTTTGCTAAGCAGAAAGTCTTAGTACCTGTTGTTGAATGGTACTTTTGCTTCGTGCTCACACCTTCTGCCTTGATTGCACACAGCGTGGCCCTTTCAGCCTCCAGCAGGAAATAAGAGCATCCATACACGGCATGTTTTAAGAAGAGCATCTTGCACGCTGTGTGTGAAAGCTCAGAGCTGAAGGGACAACTCAGCACATCAACAAACCTACTGCATCCTACTGCCTGCCTGCAGCCCCACGCACAACCCAAATATCAGGATGTATGAGCACAAACTCTTTGGGATGTGCTCTCACTCACTGTAAACCCTTTTATCACACGTAATGGAGTAACATCCTAAATACTATCTAGCTGAGCTCTCTGCCTTTCTGCTGTGAGCTGGGACTGCCTGCTTTGGATGGCTGCAAGGCAGGGGCACACTCAGGCTTTTCAAACGGAAGCAGAAATACAGAGGCAATAACACGAAGCCCTCGTACTGTTTCTATAGGAAGTAACTACAACACCGAGCTCATCTACAAGTGAACGAATTACAACTGCCATCCTGGGAGACTCCTCCTCACCCCAGGAACCAGAGCTGAGCTCTGACCTGAGTTTCATGCACTGGAGGCACCTCATAACCTGGTGGCACCCCATAGGCCCAGTGGCAGAAGACACCTCACTTTCTGCTATCTCCACCCAAGCACGAGGCAGGCCCCACGCGGGGTAACTGCAGCCCTAGATCCATCAGGTCTCTCCCCCTCTGCCTGCATCCCTGCTCCCTCCGACAGCAAAGTGCCACCCGCACATCGCCTTTATGGCCAGGCACACCCAAATCAGCTCTTTTAGCCGTTTTTACCCATTTTTGCCCTGACAAAACAGAGACACGCAGGAAACGCAACCTAAGGGGACACTGTGGCAGCATTGGGATGTAGGGCTGCTCCCAGCTCTGCCCGTGAGCCACTGCAGGCAGGTGCTGCCGGCCTTCCCCAGCCAAAGACGTGGCTGGGGGCTCTGTGTGGCCGTGTGATGCTGCGGGGAGGACGGAGGGCTGCAGAACACAGCACACACACCGTGCTGCTACTGCAGTTTTTAAGAAATGCTTTCCTCTCATCAGCACGCCGCGGGGATGGAGACAGAAAATGAGAAGCGGCGCTTGCAGTGTGCTTCTGTGCTCCCCCCCTCAGCCCCCCTGCAGAGGCTTCCTCACCCCTGGGCCAGGAAAAGTGAGTGGAACTCCCACGAGGATCCCAACCCCTGCTGCAAACCCCTGTGTGCCCCTTCCAACTCCAGGAGCCAGGACACGAGGCTGGGATTCTGGGGTTGCCCGTAAGGGAAGGTTTGGAGGGGGCACCCATTCTGCACCCCTGTACTGAGCAATTGTGGGTGGATGAATCTTGTTATAAGAGAACTTTTTTTTTAAAATAAAAGTCACTAAGATGCTCAGGGGGGTGCTGTGGGGGTGGCACAGGGATGGGGGGAACCCAGAGGGGGCTATGCATTAGGGGAGTGGAAATAACAAGATTGATCCCGGAGGCTGGGAGGGTTTGGGGCACAGCACACACCGTGGCACAGTGAGGGGGGGGGCACAGCATGCTATGCCAGATGGGGGGGGGCACGAGAGGGTCTGCAAATGTTTTGTGGGGCAGAGTGGGGACAGGGGGCACTGCAAGGCAGAGAGGGCTCAGGAAATACAGTGGGATGCGGGGGCATGGAAGACAGAAGGACGGGGGTATGCAAGGCACCGCCAGACTGGGGTGGGGGGCACAGTTGGCACTGGAGCACAGAGGGGGGCACAGAAGACCCTACAGAGCCTTGGGACACACATACCGAGCAGAGGGAGTGCAGAGGGAGCACAGAAATCACTGCAGGATGGAGGGCACAGGAGGCAATATAGCACGGGGTGGGGAGGGGGGACACAGGAGGCACTGCAGGGGGCACAGAAGTCACTGTAGGATGGAAGGGCAAAAGACTCAAGGCAAGATGAGGCACAGGCACAGGAGCTATTGGAGGATGGGGGGCCACAGAAATCAGTATAGGACAGAGAGGGCGCAGAACTCATTGCAGGATAAGGGAATACACGCTGCAAGATTGGGGGGTGGGTGGAGGGGGCACAGGAGTCAACAAAAGACCGGGGTACACAGGAAGTTTTGTAAGATAGGGGGGCACAGAAGTCAGTG